CACACGTTAAGTGCTGTTGAATCATTTCCAACTCATAGCAACTCTGTATAGGGTTTATGAGAAGCTGCTGGTGGGTTTGAACTGTGAACCTTGTGGTTAGCAGCCTAGTGCTTATCCTAGAATGCTATATATGTATGTGTGCTTATATATGTATGATATTTAAAAAAAAAATATGTATATATATATATACGTTAAGTGCTGTTGAATCATTTCCAACTCATAGCAACTCTGTATAGGGTTTCTGAGGAGTGGATGGTGAGCTTGATCCACCGACCTTGAAGTTCAAACTGACTTTGTAATCCAGTGCATTAACCCACAGCAGCACACCAGGACTCCATATATATGTGGAATTGCTGGTGTGGCACCATAGAATGCACTGGACCGCAAAGTCGGCTTGAACTGCAAGGTTGATGGTTCAAAGTCGCCAGTTGCTCCTCTGAAATCCTATACAGGGTCACTATGATTCAGAACCAACTTGCTGGTGCTTTACAACAATATATGTATATATAGTATGTATATATGTAGGTTGAAGACTTGTTGATATTTATTCTCTTTAAATTTTAGTAAAGTGCAAAAAGATTTCCTTGAAAGGATCTGCTTGTGATTTTGTGTATGGTGGTCGTGGTGTGCTGTTAAGTCAGTTCTGACCCAGGGTTTCCAAGGCTGTAAATTTTTACAGGAGTAGAAAGCCTTCTCTTTCTCCCATGGAGTGACTTCCAGATTTGAACTATCGACCTTGCGGTAACAGCCCAGTTCATAATCTACTGTGCTACCAGGGATCCTTGATTTTGTGTATAGCTCATAATTTTAAAAAATTGAAATAACTATGCTATGGAAATGAAATAAAATTATATTTCTAAGTTAATGATTTTACTTCTTTTTTTATTCTTTGTAGTGTCTATAAATTCTTTGGCTTACTAAAAGAAATTGATACCAGTACCAAAGTTGATAATGCTATGTCAAGACTGTTGAAGAAATATAATGTATTATGTGCACTCTACAGCAAATTAGAAAGGTAAAGTAAACAGTTTTTTAGGGTTATATCTGGTTGTTTTCATGTTATTCAAGTTTATTAGTATTTTACCCCAAGATTTATGTTACATTTGTTATTAGTATTTTATTAAATCATAGTTTTCTTATTTACTGAGTTTTATATATTCTGAATGCTTCCTCCAAAATGAACTGTTTTAGTCTCCTTTGATGCTTCGTTTTAGAAAACTGTAAGTTTAGTTCCCACGTTAATCTTCCATTACCATCCTTCTGGTTCAGAATAGACCTGAATTTAAAGCTCTTCCTCAGATTGATAATTAGTTTAGAAAGAAAAAAGGTTCTAGTAATGGAAGGTGTATGTGATCTGTACTGCTAAGCCATGATTTTTACTCCCAGTGATGGTTTAGAAAGACTTTCATCAAGACTGTTCAGCTAGAAAAATTATTAAATTCATAAATTTGGAGTAAGTTTTTTATATACTTTTCATTTAAGTTTTCCACTTTGTGTTAGACCAGTTGCTGTTGAGTTGATTCCAACTGATAGCAACCCTATGTGTATCAGACTAGAGCTGTGCTCCATAGAGTGTTCAGCTGACCTTGCAGTTCAAACTGATTTATCAAGTCCAGCGCATTAACCCACAGTGCCATACCAGAGCCTTGTTATTCCACTGCTGTGCATATGTGGCAGTCTGCCTTTATTCCCTTTAGCCCTCCCAAAGTCTTTTCCTGTCGTCCCTGTTCCTCTACCCCCACTTCTTGTGCATTGCCCTCTCCCTCCTATTTATTGCCCTCTCTGTCCCCCGAGTTATCATATAATTATCCACCAACCTGTGTGTTATTGTCCCCTCCCTCTAGCCCTTGGTAGCCCTCAAAGAATTATTCTTTTAATATGGAAATCTTTTAAGTTTTTACAATAATGGTCTTATGCAATATCTGACCTTTTGTGCCTGACTAACTTCACTCAGCATTATGTCCTCAAGGCTCATCAGTGTTATGACGTGTTTTGCAGCTTCATTGTTATTCTTCAAGATAGCATAGTATTCCATTGTGCGTATGTACCAGAGTTTGTTTATCCATTTTTGCATTGATGGGCACTTGGATTGTCTCCAGTGAAGCCATCTGGGCCTGGACTTTTTTTGGTTGGGAGGTTTTTGATGACCTGATCTATTTCTTTCTTTGTTATAGGTCTGTTGAAGTTTTCTAGTTCACTCTGTGTACGTTTCAGTAGGTCATATTTTTCTAAAAATACATCCATTTCCTGTAGATATATCTGGAATGTAGTTCTTCATTGTTCTTTTGTGCTGTGGAGTCAGTTGTGACTCATAGTGACCCTGCACAGGGTTTCCAAGGCTGTAGATCTTTACGGGAGCAGAAAGTCTCATCTTTCTCCCGCAGAACAGCTGGTAGTTTTGAACTGCTGACCCTGAGGTTCGCAGCCCAATTCGTAACCACTAGGCTACCAGAGCTCCTTCATAGTTTTTCATAGTATTCTATTATTATCCTTTTTATTTCCATTGGTTCTGTTGTAATGTCTCCCATGTGGTTTCTTGTGTGTTATGTGTGTCTTTTCCCTCTTTTGTTACATTTGCCAGTGGTTTGTTAATTTTATTAATAATTTCATAGAACCA